CTATCACTTGTCGTCTCATTGATCATCGATTTCCTCGAGCGAGCGCCAGAAACATCTCCACTTGACCTTGTCGCGAACCAGGGTAGTCCACTGAATTGTCCAACCCGAGGGGCAAGTGCCGTAGCATTCCTTTAGTTAAGAGTTTTCGTGAGTAAGTCTGACCATCTCGTTGGCAGCCGTGAAGAGTTCGTTTGATGTGCCGAGGGATCGCCCGGGCCCAATGGTCATCATGACAACGCATAATGTGTTCGATCTGATCTTCGATTAAAGGCACAGTTCACGATAAAAAAAGGTTTCTGAGATTCCCCCACAAGATGAATTGGAGGCCCCCGCGTACACCATATCTGGCACTATTAGGTCGGAAAACGGCTTAGTTAGGGAGTTATAAAAGCTCAAAGATTGGCCCGTGTGTATCCTCGGACGAGTTGCACCGGCATTGTAGAGAATGCACCGATCACAAGGGAACCCATGTAGAAAGTTCGGACAACTTTTCATGACCCATAGCGATGGTGAAAGACAGTTTTAAACAGTTCTGGCTTGATATAGTCAGCTCTTTGTGCAAATGCAATGAATGAAATTTCGTGCGAATGCCCCTTCCATGTTATTTCCGTCATGGCAATCTCGTCCAACCTCTATTTCCCCTACTTTTTAGGAGCCATTTTTTTCTCGGAATCGACGAATTCTCTCGCTTTCTTCGCTACCGATGAACTATTCCCGATCTATACTTCCTCAAAATGAAAACGGGTTCCTCAAGATTATCGTGAATTGTGCCTTTAAAGCAGTTACTGTGTAGTATCTGATATCGTATCGTGGTAGAAAGCGGTGCTCTGTTTAAGGTTCCTCAATGCTTCTGGAAAGTTTATTTATTTATTTGTTTGTTTATTTATTTGTTTGAATACACCTCGAGAGTGTGCCCATCAATCACATAGACAAAAGGAAACTAAAGGCTAGAAAACTATGGAAAATTGGCCTAAAGCAAGGCAAAAGAGAAATGCATAACAACAAAACAAGGTAAAAAGGTTAAAAGTTAAAAATTTAAAAAGGTTAGATTTAGAGTAGCGATAAGATAAGCAGAGAGATTAGCATGCCCTGACATCAATAGTCACTTGTACCACCCTATTTTCAGATTCAACCAATTTGCTACAATTTTTTGATTTTAATGAAGATGGCCTCAATAAAGTGAACTCGATGGATGTCAAAGAAGTTGCAGATTTCAAGTGGGATGAAGTATGTATCAAAAACTTTTATCTGATTCACTCATTACTTGGGTTTTTGCTATGATATATAAGTTGTTGTTCAGGAACAGGAAGATTCAATAGCATACCTTTCCAAGCAAAAGCTGGTTGTACTACGTGGGAAGGAGGCAGAAGAAGGAATATCATGTGAAGGGTAATAGCAAAACTTCAGATTTAATGTCGCCACAGTTAGTTTGCTATCACCAACGTTCCAGGTATATATGTTCATTCCGTGGTTTGGTAGTGCGTACTGTTCTTCTGGACAGCTTCCTTCTTCATAATTCGACTGCAGACAAGAAATTCATTATAGATTCGGAAATAAAGGTTGGTTGTATAAAATATTGCCGGATCGCCCGGCCAACGCCAGGCTCTACTACTCTTCGAATTAAACAGGCGTTCCGTCCTTTATAAGCCACACACACAGCCCAACACACTGAGCTCCCATCCCGTCATGCTGTCGTCTACCACCAATGTTTTCATCCCGTCGTCTGTACCTTTTTCAAATCTGAATGCTTTATGTCCAAAAAAAGAACTTCCACTAGCGCTTCGCCCCAAAAGGGTGAAGTCCATTTTGTACCATTTCGCCAGTGTTCCTATGCTATCGCACAGAATGACTTTTCAAATTCGACCGCTCCAATTCTGAGCTGACAGAAGTTCACGCACACCCCGCATTCCCCAGGTGTGTGTCATTCGTGCAATTCTGGGCGCGCGGCAAATTGCGCGGCGATATTCGGTACGATTTGGACGACTGCAGCGTTTATCATTGGGGCCCAAATTTGAAGTAAAGTAGGTTAGTAGGATTGTACGACCCTACTAAAGTACTCTACTTCAAGTTTGTGCCCCAATGATAGACGCCAGAGTTGTTTGAATCATCGCAAATTTTGCCGTGCAATTTGTCACGCGCACCGCACGAATCGTGCGTCCCCGTCCTCGCACGAATCGTGCGTCCCCCGCATTCCCCCCACCCTGCCAACGATCAGACATTCAGATTCCGTATCCTACCGCCTGCATACGTTCCAAATTTTCACTTCAAGTGAAATGGAACAGCAGTTATGAATTTCCTTATAAGGCACAAACATACACAAACGAACACATGGACACGCATACGCATCAATTTCGAGTGCATTTGTCATTTCTTGCCGATCTTGCCAATCCCACTCTCCCTTCAGTGTAAACTTCTCCCTGAGAATGCGTTGAACAACGTACGGGAACCCTGCTGTGGATCATTGGGGTACGTGATTTCTGTACTCTCAATTGGTGATTAATGTGTCTGGGTTTTGAGACCACACCAATGGGATGCACTGTGCACCATCAAGTTATGATCATACCTTCAGCATGATCAGTGCCTTGTTGAAGTAAGTTGCTAGGAGGGAGAGGGCGGCAACACTCGATGGCTATAGGCTTCTCTAGATCCTCACTACGCAAACTACATAGGTCAATGATTTAAATCGATTGCTTCATTTGAATTTAATTTAAAGCAATGATTAGTTTGAACGCTAATTGGAAAATAATTTTCTTGCTTTTTTTTCTTTATATGATTTTCTGTTATCCAATTATGCATAACTTTCTTTAGTCCTGCTTTATTGTGTTCATAAAGTCCTCTCTTTATTCTGAAACCGTCACTGAACAGTGACTTATACAACCATGTGAAGCGGATCCTCATTACAAGAATTACTTTTTCAGTCACTTCGTGATGCGAAACAGTTACTGGAACGTCTGAAAATAGAAGAGTCGGTCGAATTCATCGAGAAAAACCCACATCCTAAATTATGGTATGTATGAAGTTATACAAACAACAATCAGTCTCCGTGGGCGGCATATTCGCGCGGCACGTGTCGCGAGCGACCTACACGGGACCATACCAAAATCGGGACCAATACACATTAGCGAAACCTGTTCCCCTTGTAAATCCAGTTCTAATCCATCATCGGCCTAGTAGATGACGTGATTCATAACCTCTTCTTTTCAGGAGTCTGCTTGCCGAAGTTGCCCTCCTGAGGTTAGACATACCAACAGCGGAATACGCTTATGTAAGTTTTCCGCTAAACTATGTAAGACATAATATGCTGCTAGGAGGGTTCAGTCCCCCAAAAACTTCGAAGAAACGTCTCATTGAATGAACACCTTAGTTCCTGCTTCTCGCTAGGTGAGGGTAGGCCTTGAGCATTACGAAGCCTTAACCTGTGTCGACTTTTATAAGGATGCTAGTAGTCGTACTCAACACTACCCTGCCCTGCTTCTGCTCATCCACTTGTAATGACAGCAGTTGGTTACACAAGACGGATTTAATCGTCCCGTGAATGTGTGGGACAGGAACCCAAACACACGCTTAAGCGCCTTCAAAACACCCGCACCATATACGAAACAAAGGAAAGGTACCCCAGGTGAAGCCCACGGGGGTGGGTAGTAGGGAACCAGGGGGTTACGGTGTCACGCATTCACGGGACGTTAAAATCCCTCTAATTTGGTTACTGCTACCTCACGCATAGCTTTGCAGGTAAAAATGCGTGACTACTGCGGATTACGATTTTGCAAAAGGATTGAAGAAATTCAGGTTTGATGCACTTCTCTCAGTTAATATAAGTGATATGTTTTAGATGGCTAGTTTAGCACTGGTAGGGACAGTAAAGAGTGCTTGATTCAGGATCCTAGGCTAAAAAAAGCGGAGATCTTTGTTCATCTGGGTCGAGCGAGTGATGCAGAGAAGGAGTACCTTGAACAGGATCGCCGGTGAGGGTAGTACTCCAAGAGTTTTGGATTCAACTCTTACTATTAGATGATACCTCAAAAAACGACTATTTTAGGGTTGCTGTTAGTCACCTGACTTATTATTTGTCAACGGCTGCTTTCATAGTCCGCCGGCCGGCGTGCTGGCGGAGGCAGCGCTAGGGGGAGGAGGGGGGCAGACAGTGTAAGGCAAACAGTCCACGCCCCTTCGAAGGTTGTTTGTTTGCAATGGAAAAACTACACTGATTGTCATGTGATTTCCACTGGCTGGCATTTAAAAGCACGGCTCCAACAAAAATTGGTTCTGAAATTCCCGTTTCCCTAAAAAGACTGCGATCAGCAAGGGTAGCAGTAAGAATGCTGTCGAGTCGACAAACGGCATAGATAGGGCGTAAAAAGAGCCTCAACGGACGAGTTCTCACAGCATTGTGGAGGTTGTAGAGGTTGCACATTCGCAGCGGGACGCACATTTTGCACACAGACAGCTTACTGTAGCCAGCTGTGCGCAATGGCACACATATATGTGCAGCTCGCCCAAAGATCCCTTCCATGCAACTTTTGTCGCCACTTCTCGTCAAACCTCTAATTTTACTACTTTTTCAAGGCTTATACTTCTTTAAATACGCCTATTTTGCCGCCATTTTTGTCCTATTCTGGGCCACTGCTTCCATTATTGATCTAACACTAGATACCCCAAATTATCGTGAACAGTGTCCTTGATAGTGCGACTCCTGAAAGTACGGATTACTGCGAGGGAAAATGGTATTTTTCGGGAGACGGGCAGTAGGAACGGTTTTGCGTAATCGATCCGCCGCACGCGGCTGTCGTGGACCATTTGCCTCGTTATAACAGTTCTGGCGTCATTCATACAGCTCAATCCCTATGCGATTATTATACGGGATTATACGACGACGATTATACGACGTGGCTTTCGCCGCACGCGACCATCTCGTTCCTACTGCTCCACACCCGTATTTGTCGCCTTCTGGTCAGAGTAAACAACCATTGACTATTCGTTACAGTGATCTAGCCATCGATATGCACAAAAAAGCTGATGAATGGCTGCGAGTGCTACGGCTGGTGAATGCAAGTTCAACGGCTGCAGACGACAAGCTGCGTATCGAAGCACTCACAAACGTTGCCGACTATCATCGAGATCGACAACGATGGTAATATGATTGCTTCGTGATTTAATCAGTAAAGATCCATAAATAACTTAGGAAAGAGGCCGCTGACCATTACGAGCTGGCCGGAGAGCTCGACCAACTCATGGTGTGCTACATTCATTTAGACGACTTCTATGGTTTGGAAAACTTAGCCAAACAATTACCAGACGGCCATCCACTGCTATCGGTAGGTGATTTTATGGGCAGTTTATATGGGTGTACTGTAAGGAACCATTGGATGTTATTGAAGCTGATGCATTGAAATCAATCATCCTTTTCCTAACCCGCCACCTACATAGCTCCCATTCAGAACAGTATTCAATACAAGAAGTAGAGCTAAATTGAAGTTTAAGGCACAGTTCACGTAGTTCGGGGTGTTTAGCTTGAAACGCATAGTGGAAGTGATAATGGGCGTATTTGGAGGAATACTGAGGGCTTGAACGAGAATGTGACGACAAAAGAGGAATATTTGAAGGAGCTGTCCAAATATGTGTGCCATTGCGTACAGCTGGTTACAGTAAACTGCCTGCGTGCAAATTGTGTCTGTCCAGGTGAGGATGGTGCATTCTCAGTAGCCTCTCCAACACCGTGAAAATCGTCCGAATTTTGTTGGGTACGTCACCTATGCCGGTTTTGAGGTCCTCATTACTTCCTGTCTAGGCCGTTTTCGACCCGAAAGCGTCCCTCGTGCTATCCTTAGGGGACACAGCTTCAACCCAGGGAGATATATAGAAACCATGACTGGTTGTGCACTTGCAGCGGATCGCTGAACTTTTTGCTTCATCGGGTCTTTGTGAGCAAGCCGTGCAGTGTTTCCTCAGATGCAATCAGACTGCCGATGCCCTCGACACGTGTATACAGTTGAACAATTGGGATAAGGTACAAATCTTACTACCACTATCAGTACTACTATGACTATTCCATCCGTAACTGACTAACCCTAATTTAGGCTGTTTCCTTATCTCGTACTCACAATCTGCAAGATGTAAATGTGCTCATGGGGAAGTATGTGAAGGAGTTGAGTGAAAGCAGTGAACGATCTCTCGCTGCTGTGCAGCTTTACCGTAGAGCTGGACGGTTTCTGGACGGAGCTCGGGTCGTCTACAGGGTAAGACTAACCTTCATCGTTTCAGTAATAACAATACAGAAGCTTCACTAAGTGGCATGAGGAAATCCAATGCTAACACGGCATGCCCCAGGTTTAGCAAAATAAGTGGGCGTGGAGCATAAGCTGAACAAATAGCCTAGGGGAGATGGATAGTTAAGTAATTCTNGGGGGGGGGGGGGGGGGGGGGGGGGGACATTCTCCTTACCACATCTTTCAAGTGATTTGATGGTGATATTTGTACTCAACAAAAAGAGTTGGAAGTTTGGAAGAATCACGTTCGTTCAAAAGCACAGCTCACGTTAATTTTGGGGTATCCGGTTTTTTGGCGAAATTTGACAAAAAATGTCAGATACGGCCTACAATAGTACAATGGTAATAAAGAAAACGCGAAAAAGATGAATATAAAGAAATAGACAGTTACAAAAAACAAGGGAAAAGGGGGGTCGGACGAGCTAAATGGCGAAAAAACGGCGACAAGAATTTTTCGGGCGAGTCAGACAAACGCGGCGCAGTGTCTGCCATTGCACACAACACACCAACAGCTGATTTTGGCTTGTTCATTAAAACTAATTCTCCTACCGCTATTAATCTGATTTATTATGCAGTATCAATTTCGACCTTTTGACGACGGCTGAGAAAAATTAATTAGAATAGAAAAGCGTAGAATATAGTCGAATACTAGAGAAACAGCCGAATAGTAGTCCCAATACGAGGCGGTCAACCAGCTGACCGTCTGTGGGCAAATTGCCAACCAGCCTATCGATTTTTCACTAATGTTGCTCCAATGCGAAAGTGGTGAAGGGCAATTTGAACTCGTAGTCAACCTAGCGAGGGGCGGAGGCCTGACGTCCCCCAATGTTCCTGCCCTTATTGTGCCTATCCAGACCGTTTTCCGACCTCATTCCTGCACAAATGGTATCAGAGGGGGCTTCGAATTCAAAAAATGTGCAAATCTCTGAAACCACTTTTTGTGAATTGTGCCTTTAAAAGGAGAAACTGTCGATGCAATCATAGATCCTTCAAAAGCAGTAGCAACAAAAGACACGATTTTTCATTAGTTCGAACAAAAGCGCTGTGATGAAAATCAACTACCTGTCACGAAATAAGCGTTGCTGCGGCAAAAAGTTCGCGTAGAGCTGAAATGAGTTGCCACTCTGGGCAAAACTAGAGATTCCCGTTTTGGTGTGCTCTTAGCGGGCTCCTTCGGTTCTTTCCAACCGATAGACTACCGAGTCATATGCACCTTTTTTGTTGAAATAGGATTAACGTTCTCTTAGAATTTGAAAACTATTAGGTTGATTCATGATTATTGCGGATGTTTTTCAGCAAATTTTACTTGAAGGAACGATAGAAATATCTAGCAAAGACTTGTTCAAATAATTACTTCAAAACTTATCCACCATCTAAGTTAAACACTGCTTCTCACTTGCTAGGCAGTCGGATTACACAGGCAAAGGAGTTTCAACCTTTGGAGGCGATCCACGCCTTGATGTTGGCCATCAAGCCACCCTTTTCGTCGAAAGGTCTGTTCGTTAGCCGATTTTTCAACGGAGATAACGGAGGTTGACGTGATAACCCATAGGAGTTTCTGTTGGTGAATATGACGACCGCAGAAGCAAACTCCATTCTTTATCTGGCTTTGGTTGACTGTTCCGTCTCCGAGAAGTTCGTTGAGATCATTTTATGACTGTGCCACCTTCCAACCCTCCTCGAAGTATTAGAGCATAGTGGGGCGTGTATGAAGATGGCTTTCTAGACATATTTCTGTTAAGGAAAGCAAGATGATTGGTTCTATTGAATCCCGAATTCAATATTCAAATTGTATCGAGAGATGAGAAGCCGTGAGAAAATTTGCGAAAATTATGCACCAACCTTTTATTCAGCCCAGGAAGACTTAACGGCAGCAGTGAAGTGTGAATATCCCGCCGCGGATTCCAGGACCGCTTTTTAAAGTTGATTTTGGCCACTCCCACCTTGTATGAAATGTAAGCTTCGGGGGCATGTCTCCAAACTTAAACAATTTGCCTTAATAGTTCGAAATAGACGGTAGCTATAAAGCCACAAGACCTACTTAGTACCCTTTCATTTCACCTGTATCACCTGCCGTCCCGTTGATCGTCGATTTCCTCGAGCGGACGCCAGTAACGTCTCCATTCGTCCCTGTTACGAGCCAGAGTGGTCCAATGAATCGCTCCAGGGACACGAGGATCAACATTCCTTTCGTTCAGAGCTTTCGTGAAGAAGTCTGACCATGTCGTTGGCGGCCTTCCTGGAGTTTCTTTGAAGTTCCGAGGGATCCATTCAGTAACCGCCCTGGTCCAACGGTCATCACTATATCGCATAACGTGTCCGGCCCACCTGGTCTTCGATTTCTTGGCGTAGTCAACGGCATCCCTGATCTTTGTTCGTTGACGGAGCTCGGAACTCCAAATTCCCTTCTGCACTTGCGTGTACAGGGAAATTGCGACCATCGTCCCTTCCAAAGCGCGTTGAGCAACGGTGACAGCATGCTCATCCTGTTTTCGTAGAGTCCACGTCTCTGAGGCGTACGTCAAAGCAGGAAGAACAGCAGTGTCGAAAAGGCGAGCGCGGAGCCGGATATTCCTTGTCTTCTTCACTACTCCCTCGATATTCTTAAATGCTCCTCACGCGCCCCGTTTCCTTCTGCACAGCTCCGGAGCTAGGTCGTTCATCATGTTGACTTCCCGACCTAGATACACATGGCTAGAGCATTCGGAGATATTCTTTCCGTTTAGCGTGAAGGGAGCATCAGGTACCAAACCGTTTTTCATGAACATCGTCTTCGTTAAGTTCAGTCTCAATCCGATCTTTCCACAAGCTTTACCAAACTCGCCATTCGTTCCGCCTGCTCGATGTTCGGTGTTATGAGCACGATGTCGTCTGCAAAGCGGAGGTGATGTAGGTAGCGGTTGTCGACCTTCACTCCCAAATCTTCCCATTCCAAGTGAGGCATGTTGTTCTCGATAGGGCCACCGAAAGTTTGGGCGAAATAGTATCGNTTGCCGCTTCTGTCCCAACGGTGTCAATTGCTTTCTTCAAGTCGGGGAACGTAAGACATAGCGGCATTTTGTACTCTCGCGATACTTCAGTGAGCCTTGTTAGAGTGTGATATGATCGATTGTACTGAACCCTCTCCGAAACCGTGCTTGCTCAAATGGCTGTCCTTCATCTAATATTCTGCCAATCCTGTTTAGGATGACGCGAGTGAAAAGCTTATAGATTACAGACAGCAGGCAGAATGGGCGATAATTGCCAATATCGTCTGGATCTCCCTTTTTGTACAGCAACACAGTCTTGCTAGTTTTCCGCGATGCGGGCACTTTGCATTCCGACAGGTATCTCGTGGAGAGCCTAGCCAGAGTTCTGACCATGACTGGTAGACTCTTCAGATGTTCTGGTTTGATCCTATCGGGACCGGGCGCCGTACACTTTCTCATCGACGTGATGGCATATCGGATTTCGGAAGGGAGAACCGAAGGATCGATATATTCGTCTTGCCTAAGATGGCGGGTAGACAGGTGGACGTGACTGTCGAAGAGATCCGAGTAGTAGTCGTGGATGACCTTCGCCATAGCCCTTCGAGATGCAGTAGCTGTTCCGTCAGGACGACAAGGGAAGTCATCTTAGTCTTGTAATTGGCGAAGCTCCATCGGGCTTTGCGAATGCTCTTACCGGCCTCGGCGGCTTCGTCCATAACTGCTGCTCTTCTCTCTTTCAGATCTTCCTTTATCGCTTCTCTGCATAGCTTCGCAAGTTCGGACGTTTGTTGGTGATTGCCTGCAGCTCGCGCGATTCCACGCTGACGTATCAGCTCGAGAGTTTTTGAAGAGAGTCGTCTCTTGACTACTTGTGGACTCTCAGCTTTTCTAGCGCTATCGTGAAGATGTTCGGCGAGCATCCTTTCATTTACCATTCACAAACCTACATTACCTTACAAAAGTTTCGATAAAAAAGGATTATTGAAAAGAAAATAAAAATTTCCAGCTGGCTGAGGAAGAACGTAAGAAAGCTGCTACTTGTCTTCGCTTGAAGAAAATGTATGTACTGGCTGCTCTCTTGATAGAAGAATATCACATGAGCAACAAGGCCCGTTTGGCAAAGGAGCAGAAGGGCGCCTCTGACGTAGGCTTGTGTTTCCTTTAGTTTACTTTTTCTCGTTAATACACTTATGATTTGTGTTTAAGCTCTTGATTATAAGGAGCACGAGGGGGAGGAAAGGGAGAGCGGCCTAAACCGTGAGTAATGCGAGGTGTTAGAATGTGCTATTCCATCAATAAACTCTAACAAATACCTCCTGTTCTGACAAAGGAAGGATCTCAAGTCGAAGTGGTCATTTGAAATGGGACCTATACTGCTAGGCGTATTTTTTGATGCTGATTTCAAATCTGCATTCAAAATCTGCCAAACGATTCTCTGAACGAAGTTGTGGAGGTGGTCTCCGGAGAGCGCTCAACAGAGGAAAGCACAAAAGCCATGGTCGCCGGCAGTCCAGCAGTGGCGGCTTGGAGTGGTGGTGAGCGTGACGATTCATAGGCGTGGGACCAAGGATCGGGTTTGATGGGCGACGGCGTTTTTGCATCTTGCAGGACTTTTTTCTCCAAGCTGGAAAAATCTTGTTATGTTAGTTTTACTGCCTTCAGCGACTTTTCAGTTGCTGGGGTCGAGTCAGTTCCTTCTTCAAGGGTCCGACATCTACTCCAACCACCAACATTGCAAGAATTCCATTCTTATCGTTATAGATTTCAAATTCACTGTAAGATAACTTTTAATTATTATAAGGGGAGCGATAATCTAGCACGAAGTGCTCAAAACAAGTCTTGCACAATGAGCGCAACGAATGAAAAAAATTGTTCCACTATTCTGATAGCACTTCCACCTGGATTGTTTATTATCTCGCTCTAACAAATGTTCTGGGAAGAAGAACCTGCATCTGCTCTTTGGACACTTCCACATTACCATACATCAACGAACCTCTAGATGTGCTTGCTGTTTCCTCTTCATCATCCAGGTCCCACAGTGAATCGGCCTTCTCGTCCTCAACCACTCCTTCGCCCTCAATATTGAGGTCTTCGTAAGAGGGATCCCGCAAGATAGAGGAGAAATGTCGATCAACTTGTGTTCCTACCCTGTAGGGACGCCTACAACAACACAGGATCCGAAATACTCCTTGTTCCTTAGTGGTACATCCATCCATATACACCATACTTTTCCGCGTTTTCCACATGGCAACCCTTACCTTTATTAAAAGCTGACCACAACCCCCACCTTCTTCAAACCTAATCGATAACATTGGAAGACAGTTTAGTTAGGAACTGACTCGCCCAGCAACTAAAAAGTCGTTGAAGGCAGTGAAACTAACATAACAAGATTTTTCCAGCTTGGAGAAAAAGTCCTGCAATACGCAAAAACGCTGCCGCCCACCAAACCCGATCCTTGGTCCCATGCCTATGGGGCGTCACGCTCACCTCCACTCCAAGCTGCCACTGCTGGACTGCAGGCGACCATGGCTTTTGTGCTTTCCTCTGTTGAGCGCTCTCCGGAGACCACCTCCACAACTTCGTTCAGAGATTCATTTGGCAGATTTTGAATGCATATTTGAAGTCAGCATCAAAAAAGACGCCTAGCAGTATAGGTCCCATTTCAAACGGCCACTTCGACTTGGGATCCTTCCCTTGTGAGATGTGGAACACGCTTTCAACTACTTATTATAGTTATAGTTATAAGAAGCTCATAGAAAACAGAAATGAGCCTATCTATTTCAGGCAAATGTTGCCCTGAATGAATTACTGGAAGGGGATGGCGATCTTTCCATGGAGGACAGCAGAATGATCGATCGAGCATGGACTGCTGCTCAAGCTTACCACTTTATAATGTTGGCTCAACGGCAGTTATTCGAAGGTCGGACATCATACTTATTGATTTCAACTAGCCAGTGCTAAACTTTCATCTGTTCAGGTGATCATTACGGAGCTATGAAGACAAGTTTGTACCTGACCCAGTTCGAAGCCTACATCGAACCTATCGAGGTACACTCATTACTTGGTAAGTGGCTTCTGCCATACTGAAGATTGGTTTATGGATAAAACGTCTTAAAATTATTCAAATTTGTATTTTTGCAGCACTTTCATCCTGTGCATGTCGACAATTTTCCGTATGTAGCCGTGCATTTATGAGATTAGAATCCCTCGCTGATCCTCAATCTGAAGAGAGACGAGCATATCAGAAACTTGCCTTGGACCTTTTCAGCAGGTGAGACGATTTATTCTGAATCGGCTAAACAGTTAGAGTAAGCATGCAGTTTATAGATATCCTCCAACGGACAACCAGGGAAAAACAGCTAATTGTACTGGTTGCGACAAAGCGGTAGCTGACTATGATTTCTCCTGTTCGTACTGTGAAACGAAGGTTTGTGTCCCGTGGCTTACTACTATTGGGTTGAGTCATGAGACCTCGGACAATGTGATAGTGTTGACTTCTACTACAAATCATAACTCGAGAAAGGTGACGAAAATGGACGCGCGAGGCATCGTTAGATAGAAGATAAAAAGCTCTCCCATGTACATATTGACGAACACAACTTTCCTTTCCTGCTAGCTGCCCCATGATTTCAAGCCGTCGCAACTCCTACTCCGCAACACTATCCTAATTCTTGAAGACCGTCGGACGCTAAATGGAGTTGGATTTGGACGTGCTGTAGAGCCAGCTGAAGCAGATCCGTATCAAACTACTGGTAAACTGACAGTCACTCTTGGGGTGAGTCAGTCCACAGTTGTTCGTGGATTGAATTCAATCAAAGGTGCAAAAGCTCGGTCGATGTGTGCCTCATGCTTTGAAGCAGTACGACATGGACTGCAGGGCACTTTATCTCCTCAAGCTCAAGCGCACCCACACGTGGCTCGCACCTAGACACCGGGGATGAGAAAAGGATTCTCTATTCTAAGGTCACCGGCGTTCTCAATGGGTTGACAGGTGCGGATGCAGAAGAATTTTCAAACCCAACGTACACGCTAAGAAGGTTATGCTCTGCATCTGGTGGAGCGTTCACGGTGTCGAATACTGGGAGCTACTGGACGAAGGCTGTGCATGACCGCAGACGTCTGCATTAAGCAACTGAGAAATTTGAAGGCGAATCTCGAAGCTACACGTCCACTGCAGCACAAAGTTCACTTCCAACACGACAACGCTCGGCCGCACATTGCCCGCACCCACCATACTCCCCAGACTTGGCTCCCTCGGATTACCACTTTCTTCCCATCTCCAACGTCATCTGGATGGTCGACACTTTCAAATCCGCAACGACATCAAGTGGGCACCTGAGCAGTTCTTCGAGAGCGAGCCCCCAGCGCCCTAGAGCAAAGGCATCTACGACCTGCCCAAGCGTTTGCAGAAGACCATCGATGCCAGTGGGTATATTTCAAATGATTCGCTGTTGTCGTTTAGAAATTGTAAGATAAATATAATCATTGCCAATTTGTCCAAGGCCTTATGTCTCGACCTAATATATTAGAAGTTTTCGGAAGAGAAGGGATCTTTTGGCCGAGTGTCGAGTTTCCAAAAATCGCGGAACATTTGAAAGTTGGATCAACTTGTGTAATATTAAGAGAGACCCACAAGAACCCCAGTATTCATGTCCCAGCTCATGAGTACGGTATAAATCACTCAATACTTGGCCTTACAGGCGGCTCGTTAGCTTAGATCCGATCCGAGAAAACTTTCAGGCGCTACACGATGCTTTGGCCTCTGTTAATTCTACTCTGGCCCTTTATACTATGAAGTACCCATGGGAGAGGGGTAAGGAATGGACCCATGAATATGGCACCAAAATCACCTGTATCACCTGTATCACCTGTCGCCCCTTGATCATCGACTTCCTCGAGCGGGCGCCAGTCACGTCTCCATTCGTCCCTGTCACGAGCCAGAGCGGCCCAGTGAATCGTTCTCGCTTCAGAGACACGAGGTCTAACCTCCCTTTCGTTTAGGGCCTTCGTGAAGAAGTCTGACCACCTCGTTGGCGGCCGTCCAGGAGTTCGTTTGATGTCTCGAGGGATCCAGTCAGTAACCGCCCTGGTCCAACGGCCATCACTATATCGCATAACGTGTCCGGCCTACCTGATCTTCGATTTCTTGACGTAGTCAACGGCATCCCTGATCCTCGCTCGTTGACGGAGCTCGCAACTCCGGACTCCTTCCCTTCTGCACTTGCGTGTATAGGGGAATTCCGAGCATCGTCCTTTTCGAACCGCGTAGAATAACGCTGACAGCATGCTTATTCTGCCTTCGTAGAGTCCAGGTCTCCGAGGCGTACATCAAAGCAGGAAGGTCAGCGGTGTCGAAAAGGTGAGAGAGGAGCCGGATATTCCTTGTCTTCTTCACTACTCCTTCGATAATCTTAAATGCACCCCACGCGCCCCGTTTCCTTCTGCACAGCTCCGGAGCTAAGTCGTACATCATTCTGACTTCATACGCATAGCTAGAGCATTCCGAGATATTCGTTCCCTCCAGCATGCAGGGAGCATCAGGAACCAACCCGTTTTTCATGATCATCGTCTTAATTCAGTTCAGTCTTAAGCCGATATTTCCACAAGCGCTGTCAAACTCGGCCAGCATTCGTACCGCCTTCTTGATGTTCGGTGGTATAAGCACAATGTCGTCTGCAAAGCGGAAATGATGTAAATAACGGCCGTCGACCTTCATACAGGTGACGATGTCCGCTCCTCCAAATGTCACTAAATTAATCTCGAGGTGATGCTACGGCGTCCGCGGGAGCCGACGCGCATTCGCAAGGAGCGGTGAGTGTGAAAAGTATGCGAGGGTCTTCGGTGCAAGGACGGCATCGGGGGGCAACTGGGCTAGTCCGAAAGCCACGCAACGTATGGTAAACCCGCGTTGCGACGTTAAATGTTGGCACGTTAACGAGACGCTTGTACGAGTTAGCAGAAGCCCTAGAGCGTCGACGAACTGATTTCTGTGCCGTGCAGGAAACGAGGTTGTCCTGTTGCAAGGCCAGGAACATTGGCCTCGGCTTCAAAGCCGTTCTTTGCGGAAGCCCCAAATCACCAACGGCGTTGGGATAATAGTCTCTGAACAGTTCCGTGACTCGATAGTGAGCGTGGAACGCTTCGATGACCGCCTAATGAAGATCGTGATAGTCATCGAACGCCAAAAATACCATCTCTTCTCAGCGTATGCTCCGCAGACTGGATGCTCCGAGCAAACCAAGGACAATTCTGGAACCTGCTCGATGAAAAACGGTCAGGTCCTACGAAAGACGGTTATAGCTGCCATGGTGGTTTTGAATATGGGTCACGTAACACTGATGGCGAGCGAATTTTTGAATATGCAGACTCACATAATCTCGCCATTGTAAACACGAGGTTTCAAAAACGTGACTCTCTTCTTATTATCTTCTATAGGGGTGAGAACAGAACACAAATTGATTTTGTCTTTGTCAGGCAGCGCGATCAGGGGCTCGTAACAGACGTGTGACAGTACCCTATGAAACAGTCGCAACACAACACCGACCACTGATTTGTACATTGAAGATCGCCTAGCCTAAACCGAAATTAGCAGAAAGGCGTGAGCCAGCGAGAATCAAAAGGTGGCGACTGAAGGAGGAAGAAACGGTCGTCGTTTCCAGCATTCTATTACCAGCGGTAACGACTGTAGACGAAACTTGGAAGGGAGCTGCGGAAGCGATAACCCGGGTTGCGCGGTCGAGCTCGACATAACCAAGCGTGGACGGCGAACGCTCGAGAAGCAAACATGGCTGCGGACGGGCCATGTCAGGGATAAAGTCAGTGAGGAGAAAAAAGCATCAGTACCACGTATTTCTTATCGAAAAGACAGCGCTGGCGCAACTGGCAGCGCTATCAGATGGCGAAGAAAGGCGGAGAAGGCCGCTGCTTCTGAGAAGGCAACTCATGCCGATCTTGAAAGAAAGTCGAGTCTGATGATGGTGAACGGACTCACAACCGCCAGACCGAGGATATAGAAAAGTTCTTCGGCATAAATGACGAGAACGGCCACCTCCCCACGGACCTCAGGCAAACACTGAAACGATGGCAAGAGTATTTCGCAAATATTTCAACAGTCGACTCACTCATCCCGCCATCCCCTGCGCTCCGTCACTATTCGGTCCCGTTCAAAAGATAACCGTGAATGAGAACATTACGGCTTTGAAGAAGATTCGAGCAAAGTAACTGGTCCTGACAACTTAGCGGTGGGCTTGTGGAAGTCGCAAGGCTGAAATGCTGCAGGATGGATGACATATTTGTTCAACCAGGTCGTTGCAGAGAGGAAGGTGCCTGAGAGCTGGCAACAGAGCACGACGATTCCTACCTGGAAGAAGAAGGGCAGTCCTGGGGTCTGCACTTGCTACCGTCCGATTCGCTTGCTCTCGCACAGCATGAAAATCTTTGAGGGAATTGTAGACAGCCGTATCCGTGATATTTTTCGAGCTGACCACCAATCAGTGTGGTTTTGTGTCTGGTTGCAGCACCACTGATGCCATACACGCCACTCGCCTTCTAATAGAAAAGCATTGCGAGGAACGATAACCGGTACATCTTGCCTTTCTAGACTTGGAGAAGGCTTTCGATCGCGTTCCGCGTGACGTTATATGGTATGCCTTACGACAGCATGGCGTTCCTGAAGAGCTCATCAAGTAGGTACGCATCCTTCACTCTAGTTTAAGAAGTCGAGTGCAAACGGCAGCGGGCACATCGGAGGATTTTTCCATCTCACTCGGAGTACACCAAGGCTCTGCATTATCCCCACTATTATTTGTTGTCGTCATGGAACCATTACAAGAGACCTCCAGAAGCCGGCTCCATTTACTCTTCTTTATGCCGATGACGTGATGCTCGCCAGTGAAGATAAAAGCGAGCTCGAGCAACAGGTGCAAGCTTGGTCCGACCGTCTGGCTATGTTCGGACTTAGGTTGAACGTCAAAAAGACTGAGTACTTGACCATCGCTCCGAGCGAGCCAGGCTCTATCAAGATCTGAGCAAGAGGAGGTACTGAGCTCACACGGACAACAACATTCAAGTATCTTGGATCGGCTATTGCGTCTGAAGGCAGCCTGGTTTTTGTAACGAATTCTTGCGTAAATGCAGCGTGGTTGAAGTGGCGCTCAATGACCGGCGCACTCTGCGGATAAGAACATGCCTGAGCGTCTCAAATCCAAGATCAGCAGAACCGTCATCCGGTCGGCTGCAAACAACCGCGCTGAATGCTGGCTTGCAACCAAAGAAGTTGAAATTCGTCTCAGGGTGATGGAGGCCAAAATGCTGTGCTGAACAGCCGGAGTAACTAGCTTAGACCATAAGTAATGACGCCATCAGGGAGCGATTTGTTGTAGCGCCCATTGACGTTAAAATACGCGAAGCCCGTCTTCGATGGTATGGTCATGTTCTTCGGGCAAAGAATGACAGTGTCCGTAAGATCGGTCTCAACCTTGACGTGTCCGGAAAGCGGTCTAGAGGGCGTCCAAAGCAGCGGTGGCTCGATACGTTGCACGAAGACTTCTTAAAGCGGTAGCATCCACCCCGATAAAGCGTTCGATTGGGAGAATTGGCGTCAACATATCAGAAAAGCGGACCCCGTCTACAAGCGGAGCAAACGTTAAAGAACAAGAAGAAGAAACCTTCACACACAGACGGCACCAAAATAATCCCTTTAAATGTTAAGTCTAAGAGATTATTGTATGTTAGTCTAAGAGAATAAAATTGTAGTAAAAAGTCTCTCCCTCAAATGAAACTATTTAGGAACTTCATTGGTTAAATAAAGTGATTTGGTACTACAATATTTTCAGTTCCCAGTCTGCATTGCAAGTGGGCGACCGATGATTGCCTATCAGTTCTGGTTGTGCCCGGTTTGTAAACAAAGAGCTTACGAGGAAGAAATACATAGTTTCAAGTTCTGTCCGCTATGTCATGCTCAAATAGCGTAAATAGTAAAAGTTTATATTTGCTGTGAACTATCAACATGCATGTCCTCAAGTTCTTTCCAAGACTCTTCTTCACATTAACTTTTTGGAAGCACACTTCACGATAAAAATGTTGTTCGATCAAAGGTACAGAACACGATAATTTGGGTTACCTAGATTGAGACGAGTAATGGAAGTGATAGTCCAGAATGGTGAAGGAAACGGTACATTCATCTCTTCAATTCGTTTTGAGATCTTTTGCGCTGATCCAAAAGGCTTTGGAAACTTTCGCGTTGAGGTCGCGGGCTCTCCCATCAAGATCCTGACTTGTATCTCAAACTCTACGTCTCTGTGGCGATGCCTCCTATGGTCTCCCAAAGGCGTTTCAGGCTTCTATTTTTTCATGTCATCCAGATGTTTTTTAGTATTGTATGTTGGGGGTCCGGTCCCGGTTTCGCCGATGTAGTCTTCTCCACAAATCCTTGCATGTGATCAATTAGAAATAGATTTTACAAGTTAAGACACAAAAACTATCAGAATTTTCCTCAGTGGTTCGTTTGGAACAGATGACACAATGGAGGTCATGCAAAAACGGTCGTAGAGACGGTTTTGGACCACTCCCTGCCTTAGATTTGTATGAGGAACTTCAACTACCCGAACCGTACCATCGAGACCACACCTTCGCCACCGCCATGCTCACGTCTGAACTGACGGAGTCCGACACGAAGGGCGGGCAAAAAGGCACCTTCTCAGACTTTTCAGTTTCTAGCTCATGTAGTTTTCTCCGGGCTGGTCCGCCAAATCGCTGGTCTCTCCTTATTTAAAATTTCTTGAGGTGGAGGGGGAAACCTGAATCACTTATAACAGATGCGTGAAAAACTGAGTATTGATAAAACAGTCCAAGGAATAAGTGAAGCAGATATGATGTTCACAAAATGCAAACCTCATATGTACATGATGTCTCTCGACAACCGTAAATAAAAGCCACAATCGATTCGACATCAAAAAATTACACGTTTCTCTACTCTACCCATTTTTTTGGTTGTTTCATCGATGCAGAGCTTCCCCCGTGTACAAGATTGTTTCATTTTGGGTGTGGATATGAGCACTTCGGTGTTGAAGGTGAAAGAGCGTTACAAAAACGACGTCGAGAAATTTTAAATAAGTGCTAGGTGATAGGTACGTGATCGCAAATGGTAGCCGAAACAAAGCGCTGACTTGAATTGGTAATAAAAGGAGCTTTTATTTGGATAAAAGCACGTTTTGCAAAAGCGTAAAAGACAACGGGGAGCAAACCCTCTCCGCTCACCCGCAGAGGGAGAGCACTGCCACTACGCCATGCGGACCCCTGTGGCGATTGCGTGCAAGTAGGTACTAATATGCCAGAAAAGCTCTGATTCATACAGTTCTAACTATTTAACACGATTTGAAGGGAATCCATAATTCTTCATGACAAGCAAGAATCCCCTAACTTCGAGCTCTTCCTTTCCTCTATGCTATTGTTTCATCCTAAGCGGTACTCAACTACATGATTTAGGCGATAACCAACATACCAATTCGAAGAGACCACCCTCACAATCTACATCAAATAGTGACCTAACGATGAAATAACTAGTAAACAGCACCTTGCCAGCTGTAGACCTGACACCGCAAAGATGTTAAGCGTCCACAATCTCAGCTAGGACTGCCGACTGTACACGTACTGACACTTCTGTACTTGGCACCAGTACGCCCGAATAGTTTATGCATCACATTTCTGTACAATACAAAGGAGTATAACTTTGCATTGATGTGTTTCACACCGAAAATTAATGTACAATTATATCGAAAAAGTTTCAGATGAGCTCCTGTGTCGCCATGCACACGGAAATTGACGGTTGATATAATTTACATATATGACATCTGAGGAATTCATGGATTCAGTGATAAAACGACGACATCAGGGAATATATATGGGACCGGATATAATACTTATGTGTTGGATAACGTGGAAGACTAATATACTCTCATTGAACTGGTAAAAACAAATGTGCAGAAATTAGGGAGCGTACAATAAACCTTTGAGGGACGCTGATAACATAACAACACAGATAAAACTGGTAAGACTATACTTTGTAGAGCTGTGTTTTGCAGATATAGGGGCATACTTATTGGCTACATTGTATTGTCTATTTTGGCATTACTTACACATATAGAAGTGCTTAAATCTCACATCATGGTTAAAACGAACTCGTTGTAAAAATTTGATAAAACATACGCAGAAACGCGGAGTAAAACATAAAATAAACACTCTGATTTTAAATAAATGTACAGCTAATGTCATCACACTTTGAAATTTCACAACATTTCGATTACGCCCAAAAGGTCACAGAGGTTTAATTGATGCATAATCGAGAGCTGATTTTGTCGCATCAAAGTTATGGGTGAATATGATACCAGACTTTGAGCGAGAACGACTTGATGAGACATTTAATGGGTCAGAAAGTAACATAGTCGCTTGGGGCTCGGAATCCTAAAATAAGCACTGTTTGAAAAAAGATTAGTAAGGATTCAAGTCCCAAACTTGGGTCTAGAACAATGGTATCATTATTTTTTCCCCATCTAATCCTGCAATGCATTCGAACATCCCCATTGCATGACCGGATATCTCGCCGATCAAGCAACGTGTGGTGACTCAACAATCAGTTCAAAAGAAGAGCGAATAAAAACAAGCTGAACGGATGTTTCGCGATTTGTCATAAGAAGAACAATAGCGTTCGCGTGGAAACTGTTTAACGAACCTGTACGAAAGCATAGTTCAATCCAACACCGGAATCATCAGGATCGTGACTTTTCAAAGTGGGTACCGATTTCCTTTTCGGTAATCCCATCACAGGCGGAGGCTGGTGAATTTCTGTCATGTCGGAAGCAGGATTTGATGCAGATCGATCCGACCGAGTAGAACATACAGGAACATATTCTGATGAGTTGCCTTCACTCGTATTTAAACGATTATACCCGTCATCACCAGTAATTTGTCGTCTTCTACTACTATCGGCTTCGTCCATACTCCCGTCATTTGCACTTATAGAACTTCTGAAAAAAATAAAGATGACGTCTCAATAATTGATGAATGATTGGATGAATCCCACCGGGACTGTAACAAAAGTATCTTCCTTACGCACGTCTCACCACCCAACTAGTAACCAAGGGGCAGTTAAATCATGGTCAAATGGGGCGCGCTTGTGATAACTAATGCTCGTCTTCGCTGTCACAAGAAAAGAAGGTGCAAAGCAAAGTTTAAGACACATGCATTTCATGTGACATTTTCCAGTTCCCTCTGATTGTGAGAGAATACTATCTCAGGATAGCAACGATCAACAGCCCGCAATCATCAATCGGACGCTGAGAATGGGCTATTTATGAGATGAGAAAGCAAGCGCTAAAACGTCCGATGGAAACATTGCAAGAACACTAATCAATTTTCATTAGTCTTTTACCGTATAAGCTGCCACCCACAACACAATGAAAATAGCTCTTCTATGACTGGGAGAACGGGTCCAAGTACAAACCTCGACGAGCAAGGAGACGACTTCAATGACGTACTTTCTTCAATAGTTTCAAAGTGTTGTGAACTGCGTAAATCGATCGCTTTGGGATCAACAGGAGAGAGAAATGTAACTGAAAGTATGAGCAATCGGCGAATAGCATTCCTTCCTTTTATTTATGTAATAAATTAATTCTGAGAACTGAAAAATGTAAAAAATGAAAGAAAGATAAGTGACTCACGATGATGTGAATGATTGTGCTCATTTGCGGCTTCAGCAAGCGCGTTTTTCACAGCAATTAGATCAGGTGCTTCAGTGCTAACATAGTCGCAAGATTCTGAAACACCGTAGCTAACGACGAAATTTAATTGCATGCAAACATCTACCTCATCTGCTACTAGACTTTCACTAACTGCTACATAATTCACCTGGAGAACCGTCCCTAATAAATACTGTAAAACACGTGGGGCGAATGGTCTTCAAAACTGAAACTGTTAAGTGCCATCAACCTTTTTGACGACGATGGCACCCACCGGTGTATGAAACTATGGCTGGAGCAAGGGACAACGGCACCCAATGTTTGGTGCCACCATAACTTGTTTCTTACCACGTTTAAACCTTATTCAGTATTTTCATGTTCATCAACAAACTTCATAGTGTTTATGGACTGTTTATGGTCCACATGAATGTTTTATAGAAGCTTATTTATCAAAAACTTGTATAACATTTAACATGTAAACATGTACTACTAAAAAAGGTCAGGTACTTTCGCAAAATTTGTGTACGTCCTGGAAGCATTGCAGGTTTTCATGGCAGTCGTAAGGCATAAATTGAACCTCGAGGGTCTCGAATGTTATACGAATTCCTACTGCGTACATTATTTCCAAAATTTCTATCCGACATTGCTCCCGTTTACCATTTCTAACTCTCAGTTATATATAATGGGTAGAATAACATCTTGGTACTCTGCTATACAGAAAATACTGCTAAATTCAGTAAGCCTTTGAAAGAATTTTCTCATGGGACAATGACGCCCACCGGCGGGTGCCAGTCGCGCGCGAAAGGAAATGGGCGTGGTCCCATGGGCGCGCTACGTCGAAAGCCGCATTGTCATCAAGGGATTAACATATGAGATATAAAACATACCATCAAGACTATTTTGTTTAGCTTGCTGAAGCACCAGTTGACTAGGTGTTAGACCAGAATCCGGTAGATCTGTTGGATAAGAGAATATCTCTGCATCCTTACGAGCACTGCATCCGAAAGACGATGTTCGAGACCTAATATATAATAATTAATGAAGTGAAAATCATCAACATTTTACCTACACATTGGGGTTGCAATAATGCTGGCATGGATTGACCGAACCTTTCAACACTACCTCCATCAAGGTCTTCGATGATCTTGAAAATTAACGTCACAAGTTATGGATGGAGACTGATAATGATAAAAAAAATTCAATTGCCGCTCTCATAATTAAAGTTTGGGTGGAGACCT